GACTCACTTTTTTCGACTCTAATGCACTAGGCATATGATTAGGCATTTTGGCTCAGCTCACATTCACTGGCTACATGTAGCTAGCCTTCAAGGCTAAGCAAAATGTATTTAATCATTAGGATTATTTCCCTTTATCTTTGTTGTTAACGTGGCATTCTATAAAGTTAGTAGTATTTGGATAAATAACTAAAATAAAGAGCATGGTTGGAGTAGAAACATGAAACAGTTGACAGGCAAAATAAAATGTTTACTTTATTATAATATTTAGATATGTAAAATGTCTACTACCGTTGGAGATGCTCTTAATTGAATCATGATATCTCTAACATGAAATAATTGTCACTTTTAATATATGGTAAAGGCTAATAAGTGTTGTTTAAGCATCTCCGGGGGAAAAGACAAAACAGCATCGTTAGACATTTTTACTAGTGAACCCTGTTTTCTTATCCTCCAACCAACTCTACATTAGGATAAGCATTTTGCCTATTTTTATTTTCACTTTCCACATCTAGCCAGCTTCCATTGATAGGCAAATGTTGTTTCCCGTTGAAAGAGGTCTCCAAATTTGTTAGTTCAGCCAAAATCAACTGATTTCCTTCCTTCCCTTCCTCACTCCCTCTTGTTCTCATGCTTTTCCAGAAAAACCTCCCAAAATTAGATAATTTTTTTTTTAAATATGAATTTCACCACCAAAAAAAAAAAAAAAATGAAATAGAATTTCCCTCCAAACCCTTCAAATTTTTTTTTTTTTTTTAAAACAAATTTCACTAAGTTTTTGTAAAACAAAATCGGGGTGGTTATCATGGGGATGTCCTGATCTTGGTTGGGATTGTGCCAAAATGGCTTTGCACCATTGGATTGTACCAAAACATACCATTTGAAAATATGATCGCTTGAAAATATTTTTTTTAAAACTAATTTACTATATATATTTAAAAAAATATATATTTGCAAGTGTCACATTAATATATGTAGTATGTCATAAAAAGATTATTATTCATTTATCTATATTTATAATATTTTTCTTTTAAAAATTAATTAAATTAGTGTGTTTGATTAGTTAAAATGAAGAGTATGGTTGGAGTGCATACTAGCTCAATTAGTTAGGTAAAATAAAGATGGTACTTTTATGTATACTTTTGCTAGGCATTTTGCCTCTTAGCCTTGGAGATGCTTAGAGCATCTCTAACGCATAAGGCAAATGGAGAGAATTAGGCATTTTATCTATTGAAGCTGCATTTCTAGGGCTCCAACGCATGAGGCAAATTGTGAGGCATTTTGCCCATTCTCATTTTGGCTTTCCACAAGTAGCCAGCCTCCATTGCTAGGCAAAGCGTGTTCTCGCCAAGTGACTCTCTTTCTCTTTCTCTCTCTTTCTCCCTTTCCCGTTCTTTCCCATCAACGATCTCTCTCAACCCACCTCCTGCACTACGAAACCCTTTCCCTTTTGTTTGATCTTGCTGCGATTCAGGAAGATTCAAGAGGCTTGGACATTAACTCTTTGAATCCTAAATTAATACATTTGCTTCACTTTGATTTGTTTCTTTGTTCCTGGTATGTTTGTCCTCAATTGGGTTCTGTTTGATTTTTCATTCTCTTCCTCTTACCATGATGATTGTACAGAGCATATGAAAGTTTGTTAATGATTGTTTTTAATTGTTCTGAATTTATAATTTATTCTGAATTTACTATTCTGAATTCATTCTCTCCCTCGTCATTTGTTCTGAATTTATAATTGTTTTTAGTTCAAGATTTTGATCAATTAACTGAAGGAAAATTCAAGTTTTGTTCTGGAATTTTTTGTGTTTTGGAATTTTTGAGAGAGAGAGAGAGAGAGTGGATTTATGGGTTGTTGCAACAGCAGCTGGAGCTGGGTATTTAGCCAAGTATTAGCAAAACTTGTCTGGGAAAAATGGGTTATCAGAAGGGAATTCAATTTGCAAGCAATCCAAATCCCAATATTTGCTTCAGCAAATGCAAGACCAAAATAGTCCATGCTTGATGAATCTAATTATGCATAAATAGAGTTAATATGCAGACTTAATAAGCTCAATCAATATGTGCACAAGCATGGGTTAATATGCAGACTTAATATCAGATGGGTTGTTCTATTTTTTTTCCTTTTTCCTTTTAGTTTCAATATTGTGTTTTATCAATTGTAGATTTAGCTGTTTATGCATTGTGTGTGTATGCATGTTGTATATTAAAAGTCTCTTAAAAATTAGTGAAAAAGTTAATATTAATTTCAATTAAAAAAAGAGTATTAAATTAAGTCAAATAGTATTATATATTTCTTTTTTTTTGGTGTGTTTTTCTTACTTTTAGGTCTCGTTTGACAATTTTCTGTTTTAATTAAAAAGTCAAAAAATCATTATAAGTTGTCACATCACTCTTTCTATTTTTTTGCATATCTTTTCGTAAAAAGTCAAAAAATACTAAAATAGTCTTTTCCCAAACGAGGCCGTAGTGTATTAAGAATTTTGTCAAGACACATGGTAAATTGTTTTGAAAAAAATTATATTTTACATAAAACTGTATACAATAAAAAATAGGAAAAATTACTCATAAATCTCATATTGGGAAATGTTGCTCTATCTAATCCTGAGTGTTTTTTGGTAAACCATTTAGTCTTTTTATATTTGGTATGGTATCTTTGTTTATTATATTGTATAAACATTAATATATTGTATCACATATTGGTGTATGATGATGTTTGACGAGGTTGAAGATGTAGTTGATGTTTGATGATATTCACAATGTTGGTGATGTTGATGATGTATGATGATGTAGTTGATGTTTGATGATGTTCACAATGTTGGTGATGTTGTAGTTGATGTTTGATGATGTAGTTGATATTTGATGATGTTGGTGATGTCGATGATGTTTGATGATGTAGTTGATGTTTGATCAATGTTGATGATGTTTTATGATGTTGGTGATGTTGATGATGTTTGTTGATGTAGTTGATATTTGATGATTTTGTTGGTGTTGCTAATGTTCGAAAAGGAGAGAAATCTAAAAAGGGCCTATAGTGAGCTTTTAACACTCAAATAGGACTTATTAGTCTACAAAATAAAAGGCAGGACCAAATGGTTTAACATATTAAAATTTGAGATTTATTGGTGCTTTGTCCTAAAAAATATATAATCTTAAAATAATAATAATAATAATAATAATAGCATCAATATATACAACGATGATAATAGAGGAAATATCAAATTAATAGTATTTTTTAAAAATAATAAAAAATCAATACTAAATTTTATAAATATTAATAATTAAAATTTTTAACAATGTTATATTAAAAAATTAGGGTAAACTGTCAACAGATCATAATAGTTGGATTTAATTCCCATTAAGTCCTATTAAAAATAAATCCTAGTAAAATCGTCACTAAAAATAATTTTTTGTGGTGATTTTTCGCATGTCTCTTAAAATCAACAATTAGTGACTTTTTTATCACAATTTTTATAAATTGTCAGTAAAACTTACAATTAGTGATACCTTTCTATAACAAAATTTTCAATCTATTGCTGAAAATTGAAAATTAGCGACTTTTTTGTGACACTTTCTTTAAATTGTCGCCAAAACTTGTAATTATCGACACTTTTTAATAGTATTTGATGAAAAATGTCACTAATTATCATATGATATATTGGATAATAAGTACATTTATTAAGACCTACACATAAATCTCTCAAAAATTATACATAATTTTCATACATAATGATATAGTTGATTGTGAATCTTTCACTTTAAAACAAAGTATTATTGGAGATGAATTTATTTATAATAATGACATTATCATATCATTTTTGTTAATTTTTTTGTATAAATTTTATGTATGAATAAAAATTTTAAATCTTAATATCAAGGCATTGTTTGTCAGTAAGTTAAAGTAATCAAAGAATTTTAAAATTATTACAAATTCAAAATTCAAAAAACTAACTAAAATATTTTATTTCCAAACCAGGCTAAGGCTTATTTTAGGAAGTGACTTTTTTTTTTTCTTTTTTTTTTTTGGCTTATTGACTTTTTTTGAAAAAAATACAAAAAAATAGAAAGGCAATATTATCTAAATAAATTAAGAAGCCAATAAACTGACTTTTTTCCTAATTGCCAAAGGCCCATTTGGACACACACACACACCTCTTCTTTTTTTTTTTTTTGTGTTTATTTTAGTGATTTTTTCAAAATTATGTCTTTTTTTTTTTCAATCTGTTTTGGCGAGACAAATATAAAAAGTATATATTTTTTTAAAAAATTTTAAAAAATATCACTAAAAACGAAGATAAGCCAAAAAAATTATTTATTTTGACTTATTTTTATTTTTTCTAGTTTTTTTTTTAAAAAAAAATTATAATTTTTCAATTCGTCTTAGCAAATTGAATTTAAAAATCTAAACTTTTTAAAAAAAATTTCCTAAAAAAAAGGGTAAATTACAAACACCCTCTCGAGATTTGGTAAAAATATAAATTCCCCTGAGATCTGAGAAATTACAAATTACCCTCTGAGGGTCAAATTTTCATAACAAATTAGGAAAAATTAGGAGGGAATCTGTATGAAAATAAAAATCTCATGGAACAATTTATTATGAAAATATAAATCTCAAGAGGCAAGATGTAATTTCTTAAACTTCAAAAAAGAATCTGTATTTTTACTAAATATCGAGAAGATATTTGTAATTTGTCCTAAAAAAAAAATTCAAAAAACAAAGAAAGAAGTCAAAAGGCACTTCTCCACACACCTACAAAATAACCCAAAGTTTCACAGCTGTAATGTAATTGGCCCATGATGGTACCAATGGGCCAAAAATGGGAAATCTTCGGCACCAAGAAAGCAATGTCAGAGATAGGCTCGAAATGTTTCGGGAAGCTTCCCATGACACGTTCGGTACCCGGGAAGCACCACGATGCGACTAGAATCGCACCACGTCATCGACATAAATAATATAATAATATAATATCTGCCAAAGTAAATTGTTTCTGTCAAAAAATATCTCTCCAGAGAAGGCTATAAATTTCTCTTTCGCAACTCAGACGCGAAGAAGATTTCACAATATTCTCTCTATCCAAAACCCAAAACCACAAAACCCACTAGCAAGAACAAGAATCACACCACAACGAACAACATAGAGAAGCCAAAAAAAGCTCAATTTTCGTAACAGAGACGCAAGTTTGCAGAGATTTGTATAAAGATTGAGTTCTTCTTCGCTCATGATAGCTCAGAACATTGAATTTCAAAGGTTTGTTTAATTTCTCCTCCTTTTTTCTCATGTATATGTGTTTTTGTAGTGATTATGATCTTGTGATCTTTATCTTTTAAATGACTCTGTTTTTGCTCTGTTTGATAAGAAAAGTTAAACTCGAACGATGTCTAAATATCTTTGAAATGGGTTTTGTGTAATTTTTATTTTTTCTGATTGATGTAAAAATTTCAGTGTTTGATAGTTTGAATTTATTGATTGTGCGATTTTGTAACTGGAACTTTGGTTGGAGAGTCATTTTCTCGTATTTTTGGGTTTTTAGCAAATTTCTTGTTCAGAAATTAGTTGTTTGGTTGCTGAGAAAATGTTTAATAAATAATGGAATTGGAGACTTTGAATCTTGAGTTTGTAATTGCTTGGGTACGAAGCAAACTACGACCCCCCAGAACACTTTTCTTGACTCGATTATTTTTAATGCTCTGAACTGTGGATCTTGTTTGTGAGAAACCAACATATATAATAGGGGGAATCACATTTTCTTTTACCTGTTTTCTTCGCGACCAAACAGTCTGCAGCCGGGGAGTACTCTTATTCGTATTTTATTTCTATGGTATTATGGAAACAAACTGGTTATCCCATTCATTTGCTTCTGAATTGATTTTTGATTATTTGAAACCAACATATAATAGTCAAATCCCATTTTCTTTCCTTTGACCTGTTCTCTTTGCACCAAGCAGTTGGCTGGAATGTACTCTTTTTTTGCATTCAATATCTATGGTATCAGGGGGGAAAGTTGGGTTCTCAGTACATCTAGAATCATTTTTTCAACCCATTTGTAGATTGAGGAAATCCTTTATTTTTTTTATTTTTATTTTTTTTGTGGGTGTGTATGAATAATTTTTGTTTCAAAGATGATTAATGTATAGTATTTGATTTTGTTCACAGAAATACAATGATGGGTCTTCTTGATCAAGCTTCTAACTTGACTTCTCTACCCTTGGATTATTCGAGAAAGAGGAAGTCACGGAGTAGACGTAATGGATCTAAATCTGTATCACAGACCCTAGCTAAATGGAAAGAATACAATGACAAACTTGATTCTTCGGATGAAGGTGCTAAACCTGTACGGAAAGTTCCGGCCAAGGGATCAAAGAAAGGATGTATGAAGGGGAAAGGAGGGCCTGAGAATTCACATTGCAATTACAGAGGTGTTAGGCAAAGAACATGGGGCAAATGGGTTGCCGAAATTCGGGAGCCAAACAGGGGCAGCAGGCTCTGGCTAGGTACTTTCCCAACTGCCCGTCAAGCTGCTATGGCTTATGATGAAGCTGCAAAGGCAATGTATGGTCCTTGTGCACGTCTCAACCTTCCTAATGGTGTCTCCTTGAGTGAATCTGGAAAGGAATCTACTTCATTGCCAACTACATCGGTTTCTGATTCAACAACTACTTCAATCCAATCCGAGGTATGTGCGTCTGAGGATTTGATGGTGAATCTTGATGCTCTGAAGGTCAAGCACGAGGACGATAACAGGCTTTCTACAATCTGTAGTGTTAGTACACCAATGAGTGTGGTGAAGGATAAAATAAAGGAGGAGCCTGTGGATTTTAATGTGGAATCTGAACTTGGTTACGGACAAAATTACCCGCAGAATTTCACTTTTGATGATGAGATGTTTGATGTGGATGAGCTACTGGGCGCTCTAGGCTCAACGTCTGTCCATGATTTGGGCAGTTTGGGACAATCTCTTGACTATAATAAATTCAATGGCGAAATGCCCTCGGATTTGTCATACCAGTTGCAGAATCCGGATGCGAAGTTGCTTGGAAGTTTGCACCATATGGAGCAAGTACCTTCAGCTGTGGATTATGGTTTTGATTTCTTGAGGCCAGGGAGACAGGAGGACCATAATTTTGCCTTGGATGATTTCGGATATCTCGATTTGGACTACTCAGATTTGGGTCTTTAAGGATGGTGCTGGGACCAAAAAGATTATAGTTTGAAACAGCAGTGTGTGTTGAGGACTTGGATTGGCTCTGTCTTTTGTGTATTTTGATTTGTCTCTTTTAAGTCTAGGAGGAGCTTGGATTCTAAAGAGACAGCAAGAGTGTTATTTGGTGCTTGTATTTGTTTTTGTACTAACTTTTCTCTTCTTTTCTGGGAGCTAACAATGTATTCTCTGTAGGTTTTAGATTGGAGAATTAAGCTCTTTACCAATCCACTCAGTCAGTGGATTAGTTGCTTCACACACTGACAATGGTTCTGAATTTGTTTTGAATAAGAAGATTCTTTCTTGTAAATATGAGAGGTGAAAATATAAGAACTTGAGTTCGTGAATATATGTTGAATAAGAAACAAAGCTCTAGTTTCAGGCATTCAAATCTTGAAGAGTTCATATGCACTTTTCATTCATTCATTCTTTTTAAAAATAAAAATAAAAATTACAAAAGTAAATAAATAAATAAATCATAATTTGATCATTTTAACAAAAAAAAATTAGTTTTTGTTTTTGTTTTTGTTTGTTTGTTTGGTTTTTTTTTTTTTTTTCAAATCTCCAAGAGTTTTTTTTTTTTCGCTTCAAATCTCCAAGAGTTCATATGCACTGTTCATTCCTTTTTTTTTTTATTTTTTTACAAAAAAAATCAGATGCTTTGATTTTTGCAAAAAAATAAAATAACTTTTTAATTTTGTCAATTTTATTTTAAACTTATAATTTGTTTTTAATTTAAATTATTTATTTGACAAAAAAGTAATATTTTAATTATTAAATTGAAATTTTTAATTTGAAATCGTTGATATTAAGATGTTATAAGATGAATAATATATAATATTTTCATGATAGTTGAAATTTCTTAATGTTTTACAGAGAAATTTTAGCTATGCAGAGAGAAAATTTCAAAACAAATTTAGAAAAATTTTAGACGGAAAGGCGAGATAAAAATGGTCAAAAGGACAACTAATCAATGGCTCAAGAAGACATTATTCCCAATTTTCAAACTCTTGCAATTTCATTTGGTATCAACCCACACAATTAGGAATGGCAACTGATCAGGACAGGACTAGGATTGGGAACTACACTTTTTGTTCTCAATCCCTCACTATAAGAAATTAAGATTTTAAAGACGAATTTTTAGAGACAAAAATAATTTGTTTGTAAAAATTATATTTTTAAGGACAAAATGAAAGAATTTTTTTAAAAATATATTTAATCGTATTATTACATTTTCTAGACAAATTTGTTTAGTTGAAAAAGGATCAATCACTTTTCCCTACAATTTTAGTTGGTCTCTAATAAATCCAAATCATATTCCTACAATTTTAATTGGTCCCTAATAAACCCAAATAATATATTATTGTATTTTATATATTAATTTTTGAACTCATAGTCGGGAACAAAATGAAAAAAAAAGGTTTCATCACTCTCTCTCTCTCTCTCTCTCTCTCTCTATCAAATCCCTAATTTCTTTTCATTCATCTCTTCTCTACGGATTCGATATATGAATTCAATGGTTCTTCTCTACGATCTCGTTGATTGCTTCTGATCTGTGGTTCATCATTGTCTCAAAGCATCTCTGTCCAGGGCTGGATCGCTCCGTTGCCGCCTCATCTCTCATCGATTCTCCGATTTCCCGGCGTATCTCCGGTAGCAATTCCTATCAGGTACCATATATTATCAACTTATTTGATAATCGACTATCATATTTATGAATCGCCTATCATGTATATTATAATCGACTTATGAATGGGAGTTAGAAAATGAAAATGAATATGATAATCGACTATCATGTATGTATCTGTATAATCGATTTGATGTAGCAGCAGCCTCTTGGATGCTTTTAACATTCTGAGATTTGAGTGGAAAGTATCATGGGGTTTCTATTTGCAAATTTAGATTCTCTCCATTACATGGTTTGTTGGAATTGAAGTGAATGGAGGTTTCTCTATTTCAATGCATGACATATGGATGTAAAATTTGAAGTCAATTTTTTATAATTGTTTGTTTTATCTTGCTCGAATTTGCTTTGAAACGTCATAATCTCTGCAAATCAAGTGCCAAGAAGATACATTAATAGCTGAAAAGAACAATAAACGAAGATATATAATAGTGCATTTGTCTTGGGTTATATACTCGCCAATAACTTGACAATGATAGTTTTGGAGTGACAAATAAATAAGTAAAAATATACTTCAATGTTTAGCAATTTTCTATTGAAAAAGATAGAATCAGATTACAGCAAGGACACGTGATAATGTAAGTTTATAACTTTACAATGAGTTACTTTAAACTTTTTAGAAATCATATAAGTTTCATATAGATGTACAACCATAGAGTCCTACACAGAAGTGTCAATTCATTGGCAAAGCATTGCAAAGAACTCAACATTTCCTGCTGTCTAAGGTAACAAAATCCAAAATTTTGTAGGCCTCAATTAGACAAATCCATTACTTAAATTGAATGATATATCTGAATTAGGTTCAGAGCTCAAATGTACTTGAAGTGTCAACAGAAATAAGTGGAATGAAAACAGAATGTAGCATATAAAGTTACGCAGTTTAATGTATCACACGCTTAGAACCAATTTTAAGGTGAAAGGCAGCTGTTAGAGAGCACAAGACAAAATATGTTTTATGCATATTGAGTGATATTAATATAATTGATAACAAGACAAAATCTATTTCTGGTCTGAGGCAACCTAGTTGCCTTGGCTTGGTTATTACTTATTATTGCACTCAACTGAAACCCTAAGTTTATTTTTGGGTACTGTCTTATGCTTTTCTTTTACCTTAGTTTCAAGATTTTAGCCATTAAATCAGTTGATTTTCAGGGTTAACAAGTTTCTCTTTTGGTCTCTTCTAATCTTTGAAGCACCTAATCTATGATAATTAACTCTATGATATACTGAACAGATGCGGTAGCATTGCTTCGTTGCAGCCGTTACAGTCTTGGAATCATGGCATCTAGTAGAGGAGTCATTGCTGGCCGCCTGTTGCTGCAGCTATACAATCTTTATTCTTAGCTCTATCTGAATGCAAATGGAGATGATACGGACAAGTGTGAGAAATTGAGTGGACCAACTTCTTCTTTTTTAGACCTCTAGCTTTTGATGAATTTGCTTGGCTTGATCAACACTTTCTAAACATTGGAATGACACACGTTGTTTTCCACTTGCCTTTTGCAATTGCAAATTTAATTTTTGGGTAAAAGAAAGAAATAATTGTTCATTGCCATTATTTTTATTGCTTTTTTTGGATAAGTTGTTTCAAATGGCGATTTGAGAAGCATCCAACTCTGACCTCTAATATATCGTATGCCTCTTTTGATCTTTACTGAATGGCAAATTGTATTAGTCCCTACAGCTAAATTCTGTAGTACTATTTTTTTTAAGAACTATCATGTTGCTACTGCATTGTGCCTATCTCATTATCTTCGTATTTGTCAGTTCAAAAGGGATTCAAGTAGCAGATCTTAAGATTTTGAGAGAAAGGCTAGAGCAAGAGGTAGTTTTTAAAGCATTTCTTGATTTAATTTGAAATTTTTCATTTCATTTGTTTAAATATCTAGTTCAAGGACATTCCTCTTGCAACTTAACAATTTGAGATCATTGGTATGCAATAATTGGTAATAAGATTTTCTTGATGTGGCACCAAATGGAATGGACAAAAGTATGACCTCTTTGAAATCTTAACTACTGAAACGACACGTAGAATTGTTAGTGATCAAGGGGCGTAAATAGTAGAAAATGCTCAATTGTTCTGTTGTGTGTGTATATATTGTACTCTATACCGACGTTTATAGGATTACAAATCCAGGGATTGATAGTTCCCGAATATAGGATTCGAAGGACTAATAGTCCCTTGTCATTGCATATCTAGCTTTTGTTTTGGCCTGGATTAATGTTTTGGATTTTCTATTAATAATCCTATCCTATATTTGGTTGATCCTAATACATTGCCTGATAAGCTAACAAAATCACAAATATATCTTTCCCCATCTATAAGATCTACGTTTTAATGAAACACAAATATATCTTTTTTGGATTTGACCAGACTAATGCTTTTTGTTTGCTTTTGACCTTCATCTTCATGACAAGTGACCGTGCAATCTCAGGTTAATGCCCAAATTAGCACTTTCTGCACCCTAGAAAAATAAGCTCACAGGAAGAGTTTCCGTGGTACTTAAATCTTTCGAATATTTTCTTCTGTTAGTAGCATAAATGAATCTGATTTATATCAAAAGAAAAACAGTGAGTTTGAATGAGTGATGGGATTTTTTGTTTTTTGGTAAGAAGAGTGGTTAAATGATTAATTGTTAGTAATTGCTTTTTTGTGCCTAACACAGGTTTGATTTTAGTTTAATCTTTGTTAACTCTTAAATTGGTAATCTATTTAAGAGTTTGGCCTATTCTATGCAGGTTCTGAAAGCTTGTAGCGATTTGAAGTTTGGGAGCTCTCTGCTAGATTTTGAATGCCATTTCAACGAAGCCCTTGAAAAGAAGATGTGATGAGTTGAGTTGTTTTGTTATGTAGGTAGATATAACTCCAATTACAATCTGTTCATTGAATAGTTGAATGCTACAAACAATGCTTATGGTACTAACCTTATAAATTGGAAATGATACTTTTGAAATTTGTGTCAGTTTATGATTCATAATCAAGATATTACATACTAATGAATTAGAGCATAGTATTTGTTTGTTATTGAAATATCTTTTGATTAAGCCTCTTCGAATATAATGAGCATTTTTTTTTTTTTTTTGTAATTGAATTTTAATTTGGAGATGAACAGATGATCTGGTGATATATTTGATATTTTTTGTTTGGTTGTTGAGAAATCAAGCAAGGAATATAAGTTGATGTTCAAACTAGTATTTTTAGAGTAATTGTTACAAAATAAAAAAGTCAAAAAAAAAAAAAATTATCAAACTTTTCGAGACCAATTTTAGTTGTCTTAAAAAAATTATAACCTTTACACACCACTTTCATTTGTCTCAAAAACTAGAACTTTTGGAGACCACTTTCATTTGTCTCAAAAACTAAACTTTTAGGGACCAATTTTTGTTGTCTCTAAACTTAATTTTGTTGTCCCCATAACTACCCCTCCTGCGGGGACTGTAATTAGACTGTTAGAGACAAATTTTAGTTGTCTCAAAATCAAAACTTTTTGCAACCACATATTTTTGTGTCTAAAAGTTTATTTATAGTGACAAATGCAAAATTTTGTCTCTAAAAGTCATTTTTTGACTTCTCCGGACGGGCCATTTCGGACAAATTACGCGACTGAGGAAATTGGTTGGCTAAAGTTTTTCCCAACAAATATTACATTTAATAAATTTGTCCCTAAAAAACTGATTTCTTGTAGTGTGCCAACTCATGTTTGA